TGTAATCATGTCCTCTGTGGCTGACGCCACAACAATTTGTCTAGTCTAGTCCTGTCTATAAAGCAGCAACTTTGTTCTAATACAATTGTCCAAAATTGACGAAGACCTATCGACGCGAGGGCCTGGACAGAAACATAGCAATAACTATACACTCAATACACTCATCATTCAAATTCATGTGTTGGTTTTCACCGCCGAAAAAGAAAAAGCGGATGAACAAACCATTCATCAATATGACCTTCGGGCCAGACAGCACGTGGATCATCTGGCTTTCTGCAAGCCCCGGGTCAAAAGAGCCACCTCACTATAGGAGGTAAGAGCCACAATAAGGGGCTATCTCATTCCTTATAGCAAAAGAACAAGACTGAAGCGCGACGATAGTTCTGTGACGCTCCCCACAACACTAGAGAGGCGCTTGTATGGCCGGCACAAAGACGTAAAAGTCATTCACGCAGTAGCGCTGGGCCAAGACGAGAACTTCATCATGTCTTTCACATCAGATGGCAATGGAGATTGCCATTGTAAGTCACCAGATGTTTCATGAAAAGACAGAGCATTGACTGAGAGCAGTGGGACACCTGGACAAGTATCCGAGTCTTGATCGCTGGCTGATAGAGAACCCCTGTGATGAAAGCACATTTTGGGCATCGCTTGGGCCTGAAGCCGAATTCTTTGCGACCTCTAAGAAAATGCCTCACTGGAGCGTCGAAGAAAATGAGCTCGAGGGGAAACTTCAGGAGTTGGGCAAGCAAAAGGTCGCCTGGGTCGCATTCGGAATAGACGGCTGTTCTATTGTTTTGGACAAAGATGGAAGCCTCACCATGATTGGCGACACGGAAGAGAGATACCCATCGTTGAAGAATATTTTGGACAGCCATAAAGCTTTACCAGTCAAGGTAGGTGGGAAAAGAAACAAGGAGAGAATTGTGGTACGTCGCCCCAGAGATTAATCTATTTCTGCTTTCCGAGTTTGACAAAATATGATATAGAGATCAGTAGCCCTCAGTCCTTTCTGCGATGACGAGTTTTTCATCAGCTTCGAAGATGGTACAAGCGAATATCACAGTGACGCAATCAAATCCGGTCACAACTTGGAAGCCAAAAACGTAGTCGACTCGCTGCGTGACGAATACAAACATCGCTGCGACAAATCATTCCCAAAGCCTATTTTCACAAAAGAGAATAAGACATACCAAGACTGCAAAATTGTAAGGTTTCTAGCCCTTGAATGATATGATGACCCTGACAATTTATCCCCAACAGCCCCATCTTCTCGCAACTATGGGTAAAGCCAAGAGTGGGTATAAAGTTAAAGAATGGCCTGATTCATGAACTAATTAGTTTTGAGCTACTATTCATCAGATAAGACGCGGCGACAGGTCGTAACCAAGCTCTCTTATTAATTTCGGACTATGTCAATTTGGTGGTGTGGAAAATCAGGTTTCATGGTTGTCTCACATTCCGATTTTGATCACTGTAATTGCAGCAGGCAGCCGGTAGCTCATCTTTCATCTGATCCTTACTCCTTGTTACGGTTTGTTGCAGGTTCATAGGCAGAATGTGTGTTCACAGATTTAATTAATTTATTGGGTTCTCAATACGTCATACACAGCGCGAGAGAAACTTTCAGATCGGTGGAGACTATCATTAGTCCAAATTATATCTTGGATACGAGCAACTTGACAAGCAAGTCCCACAATTGTCTGGGTCACTAGTTGGACGTAAACTCAAGCCATCGTATCATTGTGGTCATCAATCTAAACCTCCTATAGACCTCCTCATATGGTAAGTATCAGCGATTTTTTAAGCAGCATTATATCTTTGATTCCACGATCATGATCATTCGCATTAATCCCCCAAACGCAATTAACAATCAAGAAGTCCATCATAAATAACGTACAGTGCCTCAAGCCAGTGGTCCAATATCCTCACTGTTGATCGGATGTCCTCACGCTCCTCGCGCCTGTCTTGCCACAACAGCTTCTGTCTGCACGTCGCCAGAAGGCCTTCGTAAGCCTCAATGAGCAGCAAGACCTGCAGATGTGATGCGCGTTTCCTTCTATCGCCCGACTCAGCCGGGCCTTGTCGGTACAGCGCATTTGCTAGTTCGTCCGTTAGCAGATCCAGGCAGATCTGTAGCCCAACATAGCTCTGCTCCGGTTTTCTGTTTTTGCACGCAGTTCCAGAGCTGGGCTCAACCGTGTTTGATGTTTTACATGGACTACCCCTGGGCAGAGAGGACTCTGGTGGCTCCGCAAGTGAACTTAAGTCTGTAGACACGAGGGTGGATATACGTGATGCAGACTCGGATGAGGACGTACGCCGGCTCAGATCCCGCAAGTTCTGACTCCCTCTAATCTTGCGGATCGAGCGCTTAGCTGTGAATATAGGCGGAGAAACGCGGCCGTACATTTCCTGCATATCGGGTAGGAGGGCGATGTATTGGTCTGCTAGGATCAAGGCTCTGTCGGTCTCCGAGCTGGCGTGGGTTTTCCTCTCGAGCTGGCCAATAGCAGAGACTGGAGTTTTGGAATAATTTCTACGTGATATGATTTTGGCGAGGCTCTCCTCCTTCCATTCACCCGAGGGGATTGGCCATTGGTTGTCTTTCCGACGTCTCGCGTTGGTGAAAGATTTGACGTGGATTGGGCTCCCCTTCTGAATTTGCCAAGCGGAGAGAGTCATGTGTTGGCTTTTGAAGGGCTTATCTCCTTGGGAGCCATTGTGCTGGACTCGCTTCCCATTCAATGTCCTGTCTAGGTTCTGGCGAGAACTCGACGCCACCGTGTCTCGAGGCCTGGTATTTTCTTGAGCGACCCTTCTGATCTGGTGTCGTCAGAAGATCTTGCTGATTCAATCCCAGTTTTCAACCGTTTTTGCAATCGTTTTGGCCGTCTTAATGTCGATGAGGCCATGCTTTTTGGCATGCTCTGCTTAACAGGGAACTCTGTCTGAAGTATATTCCACAGAACTAATCGCGAAGTATAGCAAGTCAATGAAAAAAGTGAAGATTCTGAGTAGGACATGAAATCACGGACCTGGCCAATTGAACACGAGCAATCGCGTTTCTCACGCTTCGCCCCCCATAGACATCTTTTTATCATGAACTCGCTACCCCTCCTCTCCGGACCTCCTGAAACTGACTTAATGCCATGTTGGTCTGGATTCGTCCGCAAAACTACTTGCCATCTACGCGGCTAGAGCCGCTGTTCATCTGAACTGAACTCCGGATCACCGGTGAGTTCCGTGTTTGGCTTATCTGCACATGACGATCAAGATCGCTGCACGTCAACCTCCCATTCATTAGATCCAAGTGGGGATTTCCGGTGGGAGAAAAGTGAGATAATCGGCTGCGAAAGCTGAGGAGCTGTGCATTAAGCTGCAATAGCGGGGGGTGTTGGCATGCAGAAGCTGAACATGTGCCATTGACATGGCTGCTCTACGGCTGCGGAGATTGTGGCTAGACCACCGGTTTCACCAACACCTCAATTCGAGTTGTTCGACAGATCATCACACCAGCAGATCATCCTTGCAACCACTACCGCTACAATACTCATGCTGCATCAAGTCTAATGCCCGGTTTCATCTATACCGAGGTTAGTACTTATGTTGTACAAGCAAGAGAAGAGCATTTCTCTGAGAGTTAGCACTTCCTCTGTAGATCTCTAGGTAAGTCACCTGCGCTTGCTACCATGCTTTCTCCTTTTCAAATTTCTGTTGCAGAAAGTGCGCCCCTCATGCATGCATGATTACCCACGACTGAAATCGATCATGACAATGACCAAAGTGATGGTGCTGTACCGACTCTTCACCTCACGGCTACCTTCGGCGCCCATGCACTTGTGATGCTCTCTACATTTTCCAGCAGGCAATCTCAAGAAATGGCGTTTCCATCAGCGTCTGAGGCGCGCGGACTTCGTGGAGTCGGCGACCTCAACTCATGGTTGGAGTTTAACAGATGTCGCTGTTCATTGAGGCACGTTGTTGAGAGACTTGTCTTGAACGCATGGCAGAATGACCATTCGATCGGCGGGAAATGATCCAAGGCCATGGCTTAGGCTTCGAGGCGACTGGGTCGGATGTATAGCAGGACACAGTAATAGCTGGTAAAACTGAAGGTCTAGCTGTGGCGCATTGGCGCATTGTAAATTGAACACACTTTTAAGATGAAGATACCTAATTACTTACTGCATACTTACAGTAGAAGAGGGACCGTCGTTTGTAAGATGGTTGCACGACTCATTCAAATGGCTCAGTGTCTGATATCGTAACATTGCCACTTACAGCTTTTTGGCAAGTGACAATATTTTCCTAGGTCAGGTTTAGGTTTGTGCTCCTGGATATATGTAAAGTTCGCTCACTTCAGCCAGTTAGTGCAAAATCGCAATCGTGTAGGAGTTGTATTTCAGGTGAAAGAGAAAAAAGAATGTTCGAATTACAAGGTCGAGACGTCTCGGCTTATCTCACCCTGCCACCCAGTTCAAAGTGCTTCTCCATACAACACAGTGATACTCTACGAGGCGACGGTAATGTGATATTCTCAGCGCCTACGTATTACATTGCTCAAGTACCCTTCGACCAGTGCTCGAATGCCAGGGTAGCTCTCCAGCTGCAGTGGAGAGCCGAGATTGCTACTAGGACTGTATTAAGCTGCTTCGGGAAATTGACGGCCAACACACACGGCTTTTTACACAAAGATCGACAAGACCCTCCATTGCCTAAGAAACCAACCTTCCTGGACTTGGGCATTGCGGGGGAATGCCGGGGCTCCAATAGCGGGGTTCGCGGGGTTGGTGGGTTCCAGGTACCGTTACTTGATGTCAGGATGCGCATGCCTGAGCCTCCTTCACACAAGGCCTCTGCCTTTTGTCTTTCTCACCACATCCCTTCATCTCTGTGCTTTTCCGCGTCTTTCACCACAAGAAGCAAAAAACCACAACCAGAACCACCCCGAGAAGAACGCGACCCAACAACATCTCGACACGGCCACGACGAATACAATGCGACACGATACAATGGCTCATTCTCATATCACCAATGATGATCGTGATGTTGGCGATGCAAAGCTCGATCATACAGGCGAGTGGGAGCTGGTCGACCTATGCCGCTGCCATGAGAGCGATGACGATGACGACCACTGTCGTGATGACCGCTGCCGCTACAATGGCGCCTGTAACAGCATCTCGGATGGTGTCGTCGATGCTGGCCCAGCAGCTGCAGCACAGGTCGCCAACCCAGTACCAACTCGCATCCTGGACTTCATTGTGCAGCGTCACTGTGAACAGCTGGCGGAGCGACTGAGGAGCTGGTGTGCTTTCGTCTGCCCCCAGCAGTCGCGGTCGGGAATGAGTCTGCCGACTTTTTAGACGAGTTAGATCGGCTCTTCGACCTTGAGCGCCTCAGGTGAGTCCGTCCGTCTGTCTTTCTCTCCCATGCTCTGCCCCGCCCTGTCTTTGGTGCCTTTGGTGCTACAGCTGCCCTAGTCTCCCTCCTCTGAATTGCATTGTCGCATTGCATCGTGCCATGCTTCTCTTCTCGAGGATCTTATCCTGCCGACTGGGACGGGCTCTTGCCGGGCTGGCTGGGCCCGCTCAGAACGGAAGCGAGACGGTCGACTCAACCGCAACACTCCGTCCATTACCTTGCGTTACCCTGCATCCCATCACGACACCACGGAACAGAGCTTGGCTAATGCGTCGCCCGTCGCCGCGCCGGGGCAAAACAGATACGAGTACGATCCAACCACCAACCTTCTCTCCGTCAAGATGCCCAGCAGGCCCCATGAGCTCGCCAGGGCCGCCCTCGACAACCTGGTCTAGCAGGCCGCGATTGACAAGACAGTGGCCGTCGGCCGCACTATCGCCGCCCTCGACGTACCGCTCGCGCAGCTCCTCACTGCCGCCCAGCACGATGTCAACAATAATGATAACGATGATAAGCACGACGGAGGCGACGATGGTCATGACAAGGATGATAACGACGGTAGGGACAAGGCACGCGAACACCAGCGCAAGGCGGCGGCTATACAGCTCGAGCTTGACAAGGCGCGCCTCGTACAGGCGACGCTCGAGTCTATCGACCACATGGGTAGCCCGCACGTACAGCTCCCGGCGTGCAGCCGCAACAGCAAGTCGCCCGACGACAGCTTCGGCACCACCACAGACCCTACAGTCATAATCCTGGTGGCGATGAGCCAGCCGTTCCGTGATGCCTTGAACGAGGCCGCCCAGCAGTACCTGTACGCGTCCGACGGCGAGGTGGCCCGGGTTTCAATCTTCGACTTTGAGTATAAGAGCCCGGGTAAGGTCATCCGCGGTGGCGATGTGCGGCTCGCGGTTATGGCGATGCAGTAGGGCGATGGGGTGATGGAGCCGTACTACGAGTTTGACAAGGTATGTCTGTTAAGAGGTTGTTCCCACAACACAACACGGCGCCCCCACTAGCCTCTTTCCTTTCTCTCCCTTCTAGACCCCTGGATCTTGCCCCATTCCTATTCATCTTTAGTACACCCAACACATCCGCTGACGCCACATCTCCACCACAGTACATCCAGCGGAGGTGGCCAAGCGCCCCCGGACCTGTCCAACCAAGCTGTTTCCCTGCCCCTCCACGCCTTCGCCTCGACGGCCGACCGCGAGCTCGTCGCAACCACAGGCGAGTCCATCGACATCCCGCTCGCGGCCGTGGCCGCCATTGTCGGCAGGGTCGAGGAGAAGTATTCTCATACGCAGGAGCAGCGCAACGACGGCTCCCGACGCAAGCCGAAGCTTCCCCTAGGCGACCTGGACGGCTCCCTGAAAGGCGAGGCGGATGAGACGGGCGGGGCAAAGATGGAATGCGGACGAGGCTGCTTTTGTGGGGTGGTAGTAGATTGAGGCTCCTGAAGAGCGTCGCAGTCAATACACCAAGCACACCCATTGCACAGGTCAAAGCAGCAGCAGCACCGGGCCCACTCCCGAAGAAGGAAATGAGCGAGGGCAAGATTCGGGCAGCATTTTATTTGTAATACCGGTAGAGACTGTCGGAAAGGCAGTCGGACTTCGCGCCACACTACTCGTGTCCAATTCTATTCTGGGACGTAGTTTGAGAAGCCAAGGGCAGTATGAATGATACTAGCGGTCAGAGGAGCTGTACTCGAAACTGCAACCGTCTGAGCAATATTCATGATATTCTTGATTTGCCTCCCGTTTAATGGCAGCTCTCCTAGCTTATTGAGCTCCTCATCGCCAATCTCAACATGCACATTGTTGCTGGTTGCTGAGCGTGATATGAAATTTCTCCAGATACTTTTGCGAGCCACAGAGTCAAGATCGGGATACTTGAGGAAGAAATGGATTCTGCTCTCGAATGCAGGGTCGAAGCTTGTGTGCCGGTTCGTCGTCAGCATCAAGATGCCTTGGTAGTACTCAAGTCGTCGAAGGAAAATAGACGTGATGGCATTACGGGTGAGGTTTGTGTTGTCCCGTTGCACGAGAAAAACATCCGCTTCGTCCAGGAGAACAACTGCGTCCCATGCCTCTGCGAGCTCCATGAGACTGTCGAGCGCATCCTGTACTGATCCTGGACTGGAACCAAGCTCACCAGAGGTTACTGTGTAGAGAGGCCGCTGGGCAATCTCAGCAACCGCTTCCGCGGTAAGAGTTTTACCCACCCCTGGAGGACCCGTCAGAAGTCCAACCAGACCCTTGCCCTTGCTGCGCACGAAGTCGTCAAAGTTGCTACTGGCATGAGACTCAACAAGGGCACGGATGAATTTCTTTTGCTCGTCGGGAAGGACAAGAGCATTGATAATATTATCATTCCAGACGACGTCGGTTAATGAAGACACAGCAAACGAGCCTATAATTGCATCAGTGAGCTTAGAACTGTGACACATATTAGGACTAACACAAACCCCATGTTTTGTCACCGAGACTGAACCCGTACAAGACTGGTTTAAGAAGCAACTTTTGCTCGTCGGTCAGCTCTGAGAGCGGCTTCAGAATATCTGGCAGGGTAGAATTGTTCGGCTGGATCTCGCCGAATAGGACAGGATCGAGCATGACTCGACCGTGAGACTTTGAGTAGTTCTAGTAAGTATATTTCAAGTCAAGAATGGTGTAGACAAAGAGGGGATTGTGCATTCTAGCCGGTAATGATCAGATAGAATAGACTAGACTGACGTTGAACTTCCCGTCCGATTCGCTCAAGGCATGACCGCGATACTCCTGGAGATGTCGACCTTGTAGACGTAATAATTTTTCCGCTCTCTTGAGCAACTCCATACGTTCTGTTTCATAACGAGGGTGTAAATGGAAGGGGTTATAGGGAAGCTCTAGAATCGGACGAGTACTGCGGAACTCCCCGATGTTCAAGTGGCGTCTTTCCACAAAGCCTGTCTCTTCTCCATCTGAATCAATATAATCTACCTCCATGCAAAATACTTGGGTACCATCAAACCGCTTTCTGTAATATACCTCCCTCACACGGTATACCATCAATTGACCGAGTCTGTCTATGCTACCGACGAGTGTCCGCAGAGGGAAAAGCGTCCATAGCAAGCTGAATGTCATCTCTCTCTCCGGCAATGAAGATATCTCGTCATCCACATCGGCAAAGTATTCAGCGATAAGGTCCAGTGCCGCCTCAAGCTCAAATATCAGCTGATCATTTGGTTGAGCGCGGCTGGTCTCCCTACGCAGCCTTTCAGTGAGGCTCTGCCTTTGGTAGTATACGAGCCTCATGACCTCCAAGTCCTACTTAATGTCAGCAGAATCTATTCACGGTCGCAAAAGATGACGACTTTAATATGGAAATTGAACTAGAGCGTAGCCATTACCGCTCTAAAGCGACCAGTGACCATAGTAACACCCAGATCAATGGTTACTATTGTTATTTCAACCTTGAATTTCATATTCACTTCAGAAAGGCCGAGAGTCGTGCGGCACTAGCTGGACTCCTGGCAAGAGAAGGAAATAGTCTCCTCTTGTTACATCGCATACGTTCGCGACAGTTGTGAGGAAAGAGCTTACAAGTGCCTCAGTGTTGCGGAACGATGGACCGCCGTCCTCTCGCACCAGCTCTCGGAGGATCTCGCGTATAGCTTCTCCCTCGACGAATACGACCCAATCATCTGAAGCCCCATTCCCAGACCGGCGGGCAAGCTTGAAGACGCAATTGGACTGCTTCTTCTTCAGCCTCTTGGGCTTGCCGACCTTAGTTTCTTTCCATTTCCACTTCTCACTAATGGTTGGAAGGAAGACGTCATCAGCACCAGGCGAATATTGCGAGAATATGATACGTTACTAACTTATCCCAGCTATGGTGTCAGAGTTAGCTATCGGCGTAATTTTCTCAATTCCCTCAACAAAACGTTTATATGCCGGTCTATTTCACTTACACCTGCTCGACCCGTATTAATTTGACGCGTGGTTTGGCGGCCCGGATATGCTGCTTAGTACTCTCGCCGTCATTCTCACTGTCCTGGATTGGCTTGTCTTCACTCATTTTACTCCATCCCTCGTGAGACATTCCGTACATAGACGAGCTAGGGCCAAGGATAACCTGGCCTCCTTCGAAGTCTAAGCCGTCCTCCATAATGAAAGTTCCATCGTCTAAGGTTGTGTAATGTTTGCAGTTTGATCGAGAGTCTGCATAGTTGGGAGAGCCTGGCGAATTCTGGGCTTTAGTTATTTTTAGTCCTGGTTTATAATTGTTTCATTGAGTCTGGCCCCCAATTCATGCCCAATTTCTAAGCTCTTGGCTGCGTCAGGTTTTAGTACTCCGCTCAACTAGACAGCACATCACTCCAATGGCCCACACACCATTACCTTTCCGACAACACATCATCAGATCATTTTCGCTGCTTCATCATAACTGGTGCAATCCTGATGCCATGCCATTCCCCCGCATTTAATAACCCCTAATAACCAATCACCCCAAATTTGAAGTATCAAAAATGCTAGTACGTAGACGTTATACTTCGACGAATTTTGAGCTTGGTCTTTCCGCTAGACTTGCTCGATGCTCGTTGTTTAACCCGCCATAGATTGTGGCCTCTGAAGCTCTCATATCTCGACTATGGTTGATGAAGGCTATGTATACAAGCCGTTGCCAGAAGGCCCTTTGATACGTCTCCTCTCCATCCACCCTTCCGACAGATTGAATAATCCATTGGTCTGTGACGTGCATGTTGTTTCACTGGCAGACGAACCGAATTATGCTGCTCTTAGCTATTGCTGGGGAAATCCAACGAGGAATTGCTCCCTGACCTGCAATGAGCGCATCGTGCCAATCACTCACAGTTTGCATTCAGCTCTGAAACGATTTCGTCAAACAGAATCGCGGACGCTTATCTGGGCCGATGCAATATGCATCAATCAAGATGACAACGCGGAGCGCAGCAAACAAGTGCTCCTCATGACACAAATTTATCGACAAGCCAGGACGACGTATGTGTACCTAGGCGAGCCAGAAGACCAGCCGCATAGTCCAAATGCCGTTGAAGCCCTAGAAAAATGGATCTTAACACGAGCCCGTGCTGCAGCAGAAACTCACATTTCCATATCCGACTTGATTTCCCTCATGCATAACAACAGGGACACTACCGTGAATACCCTTTTGAGAGATGTCTTGAGTGCGTCTACCTTTCCTGATAGACGCCAGGTTGCGGCCTGGATGGCCTGGCAGCTTCTGTTCACTCGTCCTTGGTTCAGTCGAATATGGGTCATCCAAGAGGCCACGGCGTCCCCCGAAAGCACAATTATTCAGATAGGGGCTTTTGGAGTTTCCTGGAATTCCCTCCTCGCAGCAAACGTGGCTTCATATGAGTATCTTTCCGAGAGCGATGTCAACCAGGCATTCTTCATTAACCCCGGCTATCGCGTGTGCGGTACATGGCTGGATTCCATAGAAGCCGTCGCCCGGTGGAAGCAGAACCGAGGCAATCTAGAGACGATGGATGCAATTGGTCGCACGCTACACCCTCGGAGGGAGCTTGAGAAGATCAAACGTTCTATGCTTGAACATGATATGAAGACAGGATATTCACCACTGTTATCGCACCGGCGTTGGATTAACGGGGTGAAGCTTTCATCCGACTCAGGCTCAGCTTCATCGGTACACCACAACAGTGCAAGTGTGTCCGATACATCAATGGATACGCAGCCAGAAGACATACAAACACCTGAAGAGGGTAGTGGTTCAGACTCTAGACAAGAAAGCGGCTCAGAGGAAGACCGCGAGTCTGATTCCGAGACGACAGAGGACTCGAGCCAGCGAGAAACCGAACGAGGATCGGTGTCAGAGAGTATGGATGACTCTCTTACTGGAACGATGCGGAGGCAACAAGACAGCGAAGGCGATGAACAGTCTACTTCTACAAATGATTCGGAAAAGGGGCCTATCTCTAGCTTGGCAGATGAAACGGAGTGGTCAGATCGAAAAGAGCGTACAGAACAGGAGCGGTCACATCACCTCTTTCAACTGTTGATCAGATGTTGCAAATTTAGTGCAAGTGATCCTAGAGATGTCCTCTATGCATTGCGTGGTCTTGCTTCCGACGAAGAGTACACACCAAAACCAGACTACACCAAAGAATCACACCATATATTCCACCAATATGCAGCATATTTTGTGTCTCAGGGATACGGAATCGAGCTGCTTACCATGGCTGCATCATGTACTAAGCCGTCATGGGTGCCGAATTTCGCGGAAATTGGACTCAACGTGCCCGGACACCCAGCAGGCTGGGCTCGCCGACACTTTTTGACCTTCAATGCCGGTGGGAAGATGCGTGAACATGTTCGACTGAACCCGGATACCGATACGCTGGCTCTGAAGGGCTCCGCTGTCGATAAGGTGCAATCGCTCGGCCCGCCTCTGCATTCCCCGGAGTACTTTCGCGATTTAGCTAGAAGCTCCCACAAGACCAAGACAGTGAAAAGTGAAGTTTTGCAATTCTCGGAATGGAACGTCGAATGGAACTGGATGAGAAAGTTCGATAATCATATTATCGAATGGGATAAAGAGACAGCGGCGTTCATCGAGTCACAGCGACAATCAGGTGCCTTTGGAGACTCTAGCGCTGCTGCTATCAAGCGCATTTACAACACGGTGATATCTGCCGACGTTGCCGCGGGCCATGAAGATAAGAACGAGACGTCGATTATTGCTGAGATGGGTAAGTTTGACTTTGGCATAGTACAACACTTCAGCCAGCCACGTAAAGAGGTCCGCGACCGAGTGATAGAGATAGTACAAGCTAGACGCGTCTGCGTAACAGAAAAGGGTCGACTCGGACTCGTACCCCAGGGAGCGAGAGCCGGAGATATAATTTATATCTTTCTTGGAGCACCAGCACCGTTCGTGGGTAGAAAAGACGGAAAGGTTATGACGTTGATCGGTGATGCTTTCGTGCACAATCTAATGCACGGAGAAGCGCTCAAGCTCGAAGCCAGTTCTATTGAAAATGTCATAATATATTGAAAACGAGAACAGTAATTCGTTTTGATATCACCATTTTGTATCAAAAACTTTGAATCTTCACAAACCTACTGTAAGATGTGAGTTAAGAAGTGATGAAGTGTCCATTAATCTGCCCTTTTTTCCCTACCCATCTTCCTTTTCTCTTTTTAACAACGTTTAGAGGTTGAACGCAAACCAAACCGTGATAACTGAGAGGTAACGAGAGTATATAAACAGATCATAGTAGATTCCTGAAACTATTATGCAGTCATGTTCCTTCCGTCCTGCCGCTCGAGACGGTTGAGATCAGCGAGATGATCGATTTATTCCCTGCGATACGCCAGGCTCGCAGCTCGCTACGTGCCACAGGCCTGGCAGAGATTTGTCTGGCTTGAAACATCAAGCGATTGGCTACGGGTTCATCAGGACCGTCACCGGAGCAACGAAAGAGCTGACGCGTCTTCGCGAGGAAGTTCAGGCCTGCGATAACATCCTCCAACAAGTCAAAGACGAGGCATATGATTCAGCAGAAGGGAAAGCATGGTCGGACACAATAAACGCCCTCGAGGCACCGGCCCTCCAGCGTCTGCAGGCATGCATTCCAATCCGACTCTACAACAGGCTCCATTGTGATCTAACCGGGTCCCTCTGCATTGAATAGCTCACGCACCTTGCTACGGACGGGGCTAGACATGAGGGTGGACGTGTTTGCTTAGAGTGGAGCATGTTCTATGACCTATCTGTAGGATAAGATAAATCTTAACCCAAGCTCCCTTGATTCGTCACTTGGGTATTCATGTACGAGCTAACTTTCAAGTATAGAATGACTGTTTTCATCATTTATATGGCCTTGCGGATATAGACTGGATAGACCTACTTCAAGCTGTGCAATGCATTCGATGTTGCGTGCTAACCACGTACCCGAACTAGATATAGCCTCATTAAACTAAGCTGACTCAGTAGTATTAGAGTACATGATTTGGGCTTTTGAAGAACTTCTATAAAGAACCACAGGTTAAAATCGAAATCCGTCTGTACGAACGTTGATACATATGGATATGTCCTGCGTGCCTTCGGTGTCCTGCTCCAGGAGAACCCAGCGCATCAGCAAGATGCATTGTGGCATTTATCCATAGCCAAGGTTCGCCGGAAATAGGTACGGGGTAGCGCCGTTTGCCCGTCTAATTAGTAGACGCCGGGGATCAACTTGTATGGAACGGTTTCCTTTACTCTCTTCCATTGTTCGTCATACTGCATTCAAAATGGTCTTGTATCAGTCACACACTTCTTATATTCACCCTCAGGGATTAGAATCAATGGTGTGGTGAGACTTACACGCTGCGTCATGTATTTGTCTAACGCCGGGATGCCTCGAACCGCGAAGTCGCGGAAGAAGAAGTAGAAAACGACGGCCGACCAGATCGGACCGCCCGTAGTTAGCGCATAGGATGCGCGCCATATGGTATAGCAGCCGTAGTTGATATGTCGAGCCAGCGAGAACAGACCGCCGGCGTAGGCCCTCCCTTTGTTAGCCGCTTTCCTCTTGAAAGCTGTCCTCTGCAGTTCGGAGACTAGTTCGGTCACTAGTCCGAGGAAGTATGCCGCCGTCCCGGCAGCCAGCAGTGGCGAGGAGAGCAGCTGGTTTAGAACAGTGGCCTGCGGCATGGCTGCGCAGGAGGTTAGGCTCCATAGCGATAGCAGGGTGTTCAGCGAGTTGACAATGGTGTTGAAAAGGCTGATGACTATTGCATCAGAGACTGGGGTTTCCTGTTCGGAAATGATCAGCATGGTAAGGATCTGTTTAACACTGCTGCCGAATGCCATTAAGACAATGAGACGGTAGTAGGGCTGAAGAGTGCCGGAGGCGGGATCGACAACCCATGGGGCCGAGACGGGGACTCCACCCAGAGATTGGATGAGGTGGGACACCCAGCCGTGGTGGATGAGGCTGTGATGAAGCACGACATCGGCGGCACGGAGACCGATGAAGGTAACACGGCCGATGGGCGATGCTGCCTTCTTACGGGATACGTTGTCGTGAGGCTCAGCAGGCATTGCGAGGGGTAAGTGCTGAAGATGGCGAGATTTTGGTCCTTATTGTTTCGACCTGGCTTAAAGGCAAAAGTGTGACAGAGGCTAATGAGAACTTATATAACTGAAGAACTAATACAAGTTCTTAGTCATATTCCAAGGTTGGAATCAAGAGCCAATGGCTAACCAGGGCAGAGATTGCGGTAAAACCTGGATTCCTCAGCAGCTCGCCACGGAAGAGGCTTGCTCGGCATCTTCCCTGCGGAAGTGCTGACAAATAAATCTAGACTCCTGTGGACATCGGGCACCGATGACCGATTAGGGCTTGGCGAGTCCCGAGTAATGATATTCAGACTGACTGGCCGTGAAGACTTGTATCTGCCCAAGTAAATTGGCGATTGCAGGTATGAAAGACCGGTTAGCCCGAGGCCATGATGGACTCAGCCAAAGATTCTATCCATTACGATTTAATCCTAGGACTTATATGTTCACCATGTATTTGCTGAGATTGACTGCTGAACCCACTGCTGTTCTACAACCGAGGGATCTCACTCTACTTTGACTCAATCACAACCCCATCATTTTGGATGGAGATTTGTTAACTCGTGATTCTAGATATACGCCTAAGGGCTTCGTTCTATGTCTCTCGCATTTAATGAAGAAGTCAATTTACGAGGCCACTTTCGTCCAGCTATCCCTCGCCAGAAGTCCGTCAAACCACTTCGCGACATGGGGATATTTCTCAAACATGCTGAGAAATCCACATTCTCTGACCTTTAGACCGTATGGAATGTGGAACAGGTCAGCAAGGGTCACTTTATCTCCAGCGAGATACTTCCGCTTTGAGAGAATTCCTTCATAGACTGCAAGCGTGGTGTCCAGTTCCGCCGCGTGCTGGGCAACTAGGGCATCATCCGGTTCTCCCATTCCTCCCCAACTGTATCTGTTAGCATGACCACCTCTGTATAAGTTAGGATGGAAAGAACTCATACGCCTTGAAAACCTTTTCAAAGGTGATAGCAGATGTGGGCGGATTGAAGTAAAACTCCTCGATTGAGCACGCCTGGTCAAACTCTACTTGTCAGCGAAATCGAATCCTCTCTCTTGGTGCACCAGGCATACGCACCTGTTCAAACAATCCGTATGCTTTCGTGTCACCGTCAGTAGGCATCAATGGAGTGCCCTGACTGGCGTACTTCTTCGCGATGTACTTGGCGATGGCCCTACTCTCGAACACGATGAATCCATCATCGTCGAGTACCGGGACTTTGCCAAACGGGTGCAGCTCCATGTACTTCTCGGACTTATTGTCTCTCTTTGCGAGATCAATGACGATGAGCTCGTATGGGACGTCTTTCTCGTACAGAGTGGTGAGCACACGCTGAGTACAAGTCGAGCCTTGATTGCCGTAGACTTTGATGGCCATTTTTGCTGTCGCGGTTGTTTGCGTTGAAAGAGAATTGCTTGATTGTAAAGATCACTGGGACAAATTTCGGTCGAGAACTGGGTACGGTGATACTATATATCCTTTTATGTTTTCATTGCGCCACTTCATCTCGAAGTAACTCAGTCGACACATGCACCACTCAACTGCCCACCGTTCGGAATCCGCTCGGGGAGGAAAAGGTCTTGCGTGGCTCTTGCGCCATGAGATGATGGATCCTAGCTCGATGTATCGCGAGCACTGAAACTTGTCTAATCTTGTCATTGTGCCTGAGCACCACAGGCTTCGTCACCAAGCAGCTTCGGAGCGGCGTTGGGCTGCTTACCAAAGCTAACTCACCAGCCAATCAGCTTCGAGAACGGCACCGTGGTTTGCGCATCCTCCGATGCGGCTCGCATTAACAAGCTGCCTTAGCGGGAAAGGCATGGCTGAACCTCGCCTTTTCTATAAGGGAACGGCACCCTGCTGTTCTGGATCGAAACTGTGCCTTTCTACTTCTGGAACTCGCTATTTCTAAGCAAGCCATCCGCAATCGGAAGTAGCTTGGTCAATTGGTCTCCGTCCCCATCTCAACCTCGGCCAATGAGGCTCCAACTCCTCTTAGCCTTGGTCATGTCTTCAGCCACTGCACGGCCTGCTCCTTCAGAGCTGCTCCACCATCTTCCCATCTACCAGGTCCTGATATGTAGAGAGTGTCGATATGCCATACAACCAGCAGCTATATCCAGACATCTCAAGGATCTCCACCATATCTATCGCTCCAATCGTCGAGAGTTGGTCGAGTATGCAAAAAGGTTGCAACTCGTCGACCCTAAAGACGTCGTACTTCCTCGACCCTCCGAGAGTCCAGTGCCCATATTACCTATCGAAAATGGGTTCGCATGTGCACGAGAGAGCTGCACCCATCTCTGCGTGTCCGTGAAGCGCATGAAGAGCCACTGGGCGACCTCGCACAAGAATGTAGTCGTCGAAGAAGGCTGTTCTCAGTGGCAACCAGTGGCCTTACAGACCTTCTTCAGGGGAAACCAATTGAGATACTTCGTCGTGTCCCTACAAAGTAGCCCTGGGCCGTCATCAGCGCAGAGCTCAGAGAAGCAAAGTGTGCCAGATACCCGGATCTCAAAAGCAATACCACCTTTTGACTGCAGCGACTCTTACCCACTGGCTTCAGAACCCATCTTCCCCCCTGACTGGACTTCCGATGACATCGCTCTCTTCAAACATTTCACAGAATTTACATACCATGATATGGGCCAAAGTCCAATGAGTAGACGAATGTGGCAAGTTTCCATCCCCGAGATGGCCCTCCGTTACGACTTCCTCAAGCACGGCATCTTAGCCTGTTCAGCCCTGCACCTTGCACACCTCAAGCCATCGGAACGGCAACGATTTCAAATAGTAGGCGCCTGTCACCAAGAACGTGCACTACCCCAGTTTCGTGCGCTACTCGCTGACCCTACCGGCAAAACATGCAACGCCATGCTCGCATTCTCTCATCTCTTGATCGTGCACTACTTTGCAGCAGGGGAACAGGACGACACCCTGCTCCTTTTGAAAGAAGACGAGGAAGCGGGACTTCCAGACTGGCTTAGGGTCATCCGCGGCAGCTGCACAATTTACCGCCACTTCTGGTCGTACATGAAAACCGGACCCATGAAACCACTCATCGACGAGAGTCTTAGCGACCAACCTACCACCATCATCCCAGAGAACCCAGAATATTCGGCTCGTTTGAAGCAACTTCTCACTCTCCCTGTCTTCGGGGAAGCCACATCCGAGCAAATGACAACCTACTTCAGTGCGCTCATGCTTCTTTCCAGCGCGTTCGGATGTGCACAGACGGCGATGGAAAAAGGCACGTTTACTTTGTGGACGGTGGTGCAGGTTTGGCCGTCGCGAGTCTCGTTGGAGTATCTAGGACTGTTGAGAGCCGGGGAGCCAGCTGCACTGGTATTGCTGGCGCATTATTGTATTTTGCTAGGCCCGCTCGAGGAATCGTGGTATATGATTGGGTTTCGGAAGAGGCTGTTGGACAGGATTTACTGGCAGCTGGATGAAGAATGGAGAAAACGACTGGAGTGGCCGTTTGCTGAGGCTGGTTTGCAGTTGCCACCAGAGAGGGCGCGGGATATTTGATGCGATCAGCCCTGGAACCTCCCTCCAGGGCTGGATGCCTCTCCAGCCCCTGGACTGCCTTTCCCTGGACGAGGACACGTGCAAAGCGTTTCGTGAGCCTAGTCAATGACAATTGCAAACGAGACTTAGATTCTTGTAGAAAATTCATTCAAAACTTTCGAAAACACATTATTGCACTACACATGAACTAATTTACTCTAGAAAAGATGTTTGACGTGCCACTCATGTTGCCCTTCTATCAGCATCCATTGCCCACGCTTGGGCCAGTCGGTAACCCTCATCGATGTTAGCCATGTCCAGATTGACATGCCTTTGAGTCAGTAATAATTGTACTATGGTCTCATATCCCCCGAATCACGGCTGAAATGCATCCGCCGCCGGGCCGCTGATAAGGTCTTCAATTAAAGGCCAAAATTTTGGCTGCTGAAGTGTGGACGTCGATGTGAATTGTGACAGCGTGATGGCGGAGATGTTGGTCAGGCTGTCGGTGCGGTTGATGTCAACGAGCGCGTGGTTGAGGTCACGGTGGCATTCTTTGACCTCCAGAATGTGTTGCACCAAGATTCCGTTGGCTTCGTCGACCTCGCGACCAGCGTTGCCAGTCAAGAAGTTCATGAATACCTTCTTCCTGCGCTGTTTGTCGCGGTTGTCTAGGGGTACGAGTGTGACATTGATCTTGTGGAGAGTGGCCCAGCCACGGCGCTCCTTACTCATAACTTCAGAGCGGAATGTTCGTGTGATTCGGTCGTCAGCGTCCTCGCGCAAACAGCCAAGATTTTGCAGGGCTTCGACAAGCCTCTCGAGGTAGTCGGCGAACTTGCGGGCGTCCCGGTTGTCGGAGAGCTTGCCGTCGCGAATGGCTATTGCAAACTGCACAATTGTAGAAGCGATATTCAGCCCGGCGGGAATCAGGCCGAGCAATTCCGCCATGTTTGCTAGTCTTGGAAAAGCTGGCAGCCAACTGGACAGAGGCACAAGGCTGGGCGAAAGAATTGGTCAAGAGGCAATAGGTAGGAGGGAGTAGGTAGGTATGGGCACACAGCGAGTCTCCTTGATGCAAATGCAGATCTGCATGTTTTTAACTATTTTTTCTCTGAGCCGTCTCTCACCATTTGGAGAGTTCTTTCCTGCCTGATACATGGGAGTGTGCAATTTGCTCTTTGTGTTGGTCAAGCACTGGCTGAAATCCTCTTTTGAGGAAAAGGCGGCGTGTTTCAATGCACAATTCTCCGTCCAAGCTCATTCTCTTCTTGTGATGAAATTCTTTCTGTATGGCTGAGAAGGAGCCCCGTCAGAAATGACATGTTTCAAGTATTCTTTGCTAAATTTCATCGCCACTTCACCTACCCCCAGCCATGACAGGGGCATCACAGCCATGACAGAGATACCGGAGCCATGACGGGAGTACCGTTGCTCTACGTGGAGCGTGAAAACCAAGTCCGGCCAACCCATGCCGCTTCAGCACACGCGTACCTCATCGAGGCTGAACACACTCAAGCAGCCAGAGTAACAAGAGTAAAACTTTCTACGCTCTCCCTCTTCACTGTCTACGACGGAGCACTGTGGGACTGTGGAAAAAACTAACTACGTGGTAATTGGCGTGAGATGATCTTGGGTTATATGTTGAGCTAGGTAACAGCTAATACTACAGTTCTCATGCCCAGGGGAAGTGTTTTCTACAGTGTTTATGACTTGCGAGAGGTTCCTGGGCAGCAGTAGACACTGGTGCTCCCCTTTGATGCATGAAAGGAAAGAAGTGAATAATGTATCGGTGAAAGACGGCAGAGACCTTGCCAGGTGCCTTATACCAGATTCCGATCCTTGAGGTACCTACCCTTCAGACTACTCTCAGCAGGTATGCCGAATATATCTTGTTCCATCGGTACATGTAACCAGTCCCGGACGGGAGGTGGCAATAATCCCTGTCGCCGAGGCTCCGGATCCGGGCCATCGAGCTCATCTCCGAGACAACCTTTTGGCTTCAAAATAGCCGGGAAGCGTAGCAGGAAATAGTCATCATCCTCCAGACGTTCCTCTGCATGTGGCCAGGCCTGGGTCTTGGGATCCTTCCAGAAAAGCACTGACTCCCCCTTATGATAACAGAGTACGTAGGATGCTATCACGGTTGCCAGACCAAGCATTGTGTCCAGAGTGTGGAAAAAACAATTTCGTTCTTGGGGGTCCGGGTCGATCCACGGATCCAGGAGTCGCAGAAGCTCCTCCCGGATCCGCATCACCCCGGGTGTTCGACAGTCGGAGGGGGGTGGCAAGGCCCAGGCATCAGCACGGGTAACTTCCTTGTTCGTTTGGAGAGCCATGGTCATGAAAGACCACATTTGCTGGATTGCTCGCTTCCGTCCTGTCAATGGTTGTAATTGCTCTTGTCAGTGACCGTATTCAGTCGCAACTCATCGTAACTGTCTGTGGGTGGGTGGGTGGGTTGGAGGAAAGACTCACTGTCGTACTGTGGCTCAGCCATGATCCTTTTCCGGAGGGACACAAAATCGGGAGGGAGGAACGTCATGGTCTCATCACCATCTGGCTGCATCTTGGCAACGAGCCAGTGGGCAATGATGATCGATAGGACTGCAGAGCGATTGCCCGCACGATTCTTATCCTCAAAATCTAACAACAGCCTCTCCCACAAGGGCCAGTCGGCATTGACAACCCCGTCGCAAGGAACAGCTGCTTTGAAGGTCTGAATGAAGGCGGGCAGGTCTTCGCGGTTCAAGGAGAGGCATGTGGTCAGAATCTCAATATGGTGGACGATATCTGGGACAAGTTCCCGACTGCGTGGGAAGAGCCATCTCGCGGTCAAAAGCTGAGTGCATTCTCGAAAGACATCTCTCCATGGCGTATCGGTCGCCCAAGGCTTTTTGCGGTTTCGACGAGAATCCAACCAGTGTGTGATGGCCCCAGCTAGTATGGCACTGAGGGCGCTGCAGGCCACGGCAATGGCAGCGATGTGTCCGGCGGATAGGGCAGTCATGTTGTAGATTGGTGAATAGATGGCTAAGTTGCTGAGTGAAGCAAGGAGAGGATATCTGGCTGAGAGATGAAATCCAAGATTCAAGAGCCAGCGATAGATGTGAAGTAAGTGGAAGGAGCAGGGGGAAATGGTGGAAGGGGAAATCGGGGGAAGGGAAACTGTACCATGTTTTGCTTGGAACAAAGAAGAACAATTTGCGGGCGTCAGGTGATTGACTCCCGCAAATCGTTCTTCTTGTCGCAATGGGCACTTCTAGAATTCACTAACTAGAATTAAGATACATATTACGTATTCATACAAATTCAACGAAATGATTTGTCCGATTTCGAACCGGTTCACCCGTGGGAAAAGAGGCGATAGAATTGACCAGGTGCGGCTGAATATTTTCCACCCCAGGTTGGAGGTTGCTAGCTGTAAGCCGGCCGGATGCGTGTTTTCCGGCCGTCTTGACAAAGAAAGAGCAGTTTGGGCCATCCTACGCACACGCACTTCCAGTATCAGCATTCAATAGACCCGGATCCAGCCGGTCTGGTCAGTGTTGGTTGGCTGCAAGGACTCATCTCATTTCTGCAATTGTAGGGCCCAGGATGACCATGACCTTGTGAAAACTGATATGATGATGATGACCTCACTCATTGACAAGGTTGAGGAGAGAAAAGCAAAGAGATCAAGGCAAATCATGCAAGTCTTCGGAGTCACATAGTTGCAGATCCCATGGATGCTCGCTCCCCCGTCCTGAACATACATACGCAGTCCCTCTCTTCCTCTCACTTGATCAACACAAGTTGCTCTGATTGCGGCAAACCAAGTTATTCCAAGCTCTCTTGGGCACCTTCTCGTGAATTTGTTCCAGTGGCATTTTGAAAGCTCGTTCAGTCTGGATTCTGAGTACTTGCACTCTTCTGCTCTTTATCCAGGATGCTGCCCCACGCCATTGTGGCCATTGACTTTGGTACCGAGTGTAAGTTTCACCAACTATTGACCAGACTTGGCTGCTATGGTTGTATACGAAATCAGGCAAGCGCTGACCTCACCTGTAGTCACCAAAGTTTGTTATACCGTCAAGAGCAAATCCGGGGATTCATTCCAAGCAACCGAAACGATTGATTGGATGGACGGTGGCCAGGCGACAGATATCTTGCCAACCGCCGTGACCCTGAAGCAGGATGGGTGCAAGTCCTACGGGTGGCAGGCTCTCACGGATGGTGAAAAAATGGCGTATACCGGGACCTATCTTGCTTTTAAGCTAGATCTTCTCAATAAGGAGTCTCACACATCTGCCATCGGCGACGTTTCAGGCCGCTCTGCCATCAAGATCAATCAACTTCTTACTGACTTCTTCAGCTATATACTCAAAGAGGTGCAAGATATAATTCAGCCTATTCTGCTGGAGCTATATGGCGTCAAATGGTATCAGGCAAACATCCATCTTGTTTTGACGCAGCCTGCTGTCGGCAATGCCGAAAGGCGCTCCAAGTACTGGACAGATCTAAAGGATGGTTTTAAGAGCGCTGGATTCTCTGCTTTGAATCATCAGATCATTGGGTCCTTAGAGGAGCCATTAGCGGCAGCTCGATATGTATTACAGCGAAAGTATGATAGTAATGCTATCAACTTTAAGGTATGTCACTAATTTCGTTCCCAAACTAATGTTACTCCATCGTGCCCTTATACCATATCTTATCGTGTCGTTCAGCATTGCATCTGGTTGACATCTATCCTCAGACAGGCGATACATGTATCCTCGCTGATGTTGGTGGAGGCACAGCTGATGTTTGTGCCTTATACATCAAGGACCTTGAAACCTTTGACGTCAGCTACATCGGTACTCGCGACTTGCGTGGCACTATGATTGGAGGCACGATGCTCAACAAATACCTTGAAGAGGCACTGATAAACTACCTACGAAGCCACCAGCATTTACTGCGGGATGGCATTAGTCCGATTGATGCTTCTCGCGTCCTCGCCTGGAGCTCCAAGAGTACCTTAGCCAAGATCAAGATTGGCACGACGCCCTACCCTGGAACCTTGTCAGAGTTTATTAAGTTCACATCCGAAGCACTTTTCAAGGACAGCTCATCAAAGGATAAAACGCTGGGCGGCCTAAGATTCGATCTGTGAGTGACGTTGTCCAGAGGTGTCCCGGCCTGCGCAACGGCTTGAACTAACACATATTCCTTCCAATTCCAGATCCGACCTAGCTTCATCGATGGACCATCAGGTATTTGGAAACGGCCAAGTGGGCTCGCGGGGTATCTGGGGCTTGATCGGAGCCACCATCGATAACATATCCGTCAGCGGCTCCATCCATGAGCGTCAAACTGACAAGAAGCTCGAGGATAGAGCCATCTCTTTCAATACGCAAGCGACAGAAGCTGTTAATGTCGACCACATTATCTTGACAGGCGGCTTCGGTGCTTCACCATACGTGACGACGGCAATCAACATGGCCATCACTCGTGACAAAGGGCTTCCCCCTGGCTTGCAAACAGGCCGACCCAAGTACGAGAATATCGGCACAGATCGTGTCCGGGTCAGTGGTAAGCCACAACTTTGCGTTGTTTTGGGGCTCCTTGATGCATACCGTACCCAGCTCCTGGCAGAGGCCACACCTGTCAACAAAACCCGGTTCTCCTTCCACAAGTCCTGGCCTTTTATTCAGAAGCGCTGATGCCCCCATGTTATCGCATCAAGGAGCTGGGTTCATTCTTTTCATCCCTGGAAATGATGTTATGCTGGCTCAAGCATGATTGAGACTCGAGATTGCGCTTTCTTTTGTCTGGTTATATTTGAACTTTGAGGAAGACTAGGCGGACTTGAGGTGGTCGTTGCTTCATTCATTCCACGTAGCTGAAACCTCTCCAGTTTCTCTTTAGCTAGTATAGCACTAGGTGTAGTCTTCTATGGTGTTCGATGCTTATCAAGATTATCTGCTTTCTTTGGCCTCATTGAAATCCTTGCATTCTGGGCATCCACCTGCTGCTGGATGCTCGGTGTTGTTTTGTGCCTTGTACCACGGCGGCGAAGAGGCTGGGCGTGCATTCAACGGTGAGATAGGGGCGAGTGACCCACGCCCGGACAAAAGCGTAGTTCTGAATCTGGTATTCTGGATTGAATCCTTTCAAGGAGAGCCCTAGTCACAGTCTGGCCGTATATCCCACGTCTAAGCCCACTTTGCCGGTCGAACTGCTTCCGATTGTCGGTGGTATACGCCAGTGTGCACACTCCTTTGGAGGGGGAAAACAAGCTGAAGCATACGCTCCGCCTGCCATTGTCTGTCTTGGGCTACATTGGCAGATCTCGACTCACGTCGTGAAAACGTCTCCTTCGCGACTGTTACAAACTCGTCTTCAGATATTGGCACTACCAAGCCATCGATGTCGCGGTAGCGCGAACATCTCCGCCAGCTAGTGAGGCGACCCACTGGCCGCACTGCTCCCTAGGTTCGCATAATGTACGGAGGGTACAGCACTTACAGCACTTACAGCACCTACAGCACCTACAGCACCTACAGCACCTACAGCACCTACAGCACGTACAGCGCCTACAGCACCTACACAGAAGCCCTATAGATCTACTTTGAATCACTACAGGCTGCATTGAACAGCTGTGGTGGTCATAGTTGTTCTCTTATCACTTGCTATGATTTCAATTATGAATAGTCTTGTGAATATGGCGTTTATTGTGATTCTATATGGAAAAATAGGGCAGATTCATGCGCACATGATTTTCTAGCAGAGAAGGCCGTGGAAGGTCATGGGAAAGGCGGGAGTCAGGACAGGTGCCCTTTGTGGCTCGTTGGTGAGTAAAGCGCGCGAACCTGCGAGAAACAGCTAGACAGATGTCTCACCATGCCTCAACAACCATGAACAAGAGTGTGGCCCCAAATGACTGTCTCGAGACTGTCTAGGTGACGATGCAAGCGATTCTCCAAACAGTGATTTCTCAAGTTCCCGATAGCGAGGGAGCTCAGCCTGTATTGATTCACAAACAACAACGGCTATCTAATCTATTCTAAAGGTAGAAGTGAAGAGACTGCGTCGGAGCCAAGCCTTACCTTTCCTTGCCTCGCCTTGCCTTGAAAGCAGGGTCATTGTTACATTTGACTCTGCCAAAACAACTCACCGGGCCATGATGCACTACATCGTTCACGGGTTTCAATAAACTTGGTGGTTGGTATGAGGGTGTGCCAATGTGGTATGATGCATTACTTCGTTGCCAATCTCCTACTGCTTTTGTGCTCATGGCTATTCATACAGTGAACCTTGACCACGTCTGCTACATGCGCCCTCATTGCGTTATAGGAAGCTCGGTTTCTGATTGTCGGTGCATCCTGGACAGCCACACCAACCCACTCCAAGCAGTACAAGACCTTGGCTGACCGCCCTCCATCTCGATTGCATGGATATCCCACGGCGCCGTCCAGAAGTCCCACTCACTCCACGCCCCGCCAGCATGCCTGCTCCTGGCTCCCGATATCCTCGTGCACCATCTCGCCAGAGCCATCCATAGTAGAATAGAGGGCCGCCGAGAATTCATCCCCCAGAGCCCCCGCGTACTCGACACCGGCCCAGTGATGGATGGCGTTGATCCAGTGGGCGAGCATCTCGACGCTCGCAGCGCGGTACCCCCTGCCGAAGAGCTGTCGCATCCGGCCGCCACGCCACTGTGTGCCTACGGGCGCGGGAACGACCTGTCTGACCGATCATTTGGCTGATTCGCCTGTAGGCGCCTGGGTGGATCGGGGATTACGATTGATGTCCGCAGAATGGCTGGCTTGCTGTGCGAGCTGTCGAGCCTACTGTCGAGCCTAGGCCGTCTCGTGTTCGGGCAGTGGACGATGCAACGCTTCGCTGCTCAGATGTCGGGGGTCTCGAGGGCGCTGCGGAACAGGGACCGGATGCTGTGGCTGGGGCTGTCGTCTTTGCTCTCTCGCTTCGGCCGTCAGTTGTCAGTGCGGGTGGCTCGGGCTCAATCACCCAGACACTGAAGGTCTTCCAGCCGATGATGATGCCGTAATGTCGAAGCGCATTCCAGATTCTCGCGCCACGCTCCACTGCATCTCCCTGCTCCTTCTCCCCGTTCTTCTCCGTCACGTCGTTGCCCGTCTGGCTTATCTGCGCCAGCTTCTCACGCAGGAGGAACCGGTTGTAAAGCGCGTCGCCGCCCATCCGCGCCAGCCGCAACCTAACGGTGGCAGCCTTGTCCTCCGCGGCCGTCTGGAACTCGATCGAGAGGTACGGACAGATGGCGTTGTCGCGGCCAATGCAGTACGCCGTCTTCTCGATCAGCCCGGTGAAGTCCTCGGGGGCGGACAACGGCGCCAGCCAGAAGGTGATGCTGGCGACGGCGCGCAGGTCCTCGTCGCGGGGCTTGATCTGATGCCAGCCCCCGCCGCCGTCGTCGGCGCGTGTGATGTCGGCCTGAAGAAACCTGCGCGAAGCCCACTTCGTGGCTGAAGATGCCGAGCGGGTAGGTAACGCGGCATTGGCGCCGGAAGTATCATCTGGGCTGGGGCGATGGTGTGGCGCCAGGTACATGCCGACTGCTTCTTTGAGTTCCTCCAGCGTCTCGCATGCGCGTTGGCTTCGGAGCTCTTCGGAAATCTTGAAGAACTGGGTAGCGCGCTCCTTCGTGACGACAGGTTCAACCATGCCTACGAGGCGAGCGCCAAAGTGGATAGCGCATGTCTCTTCCCGGCACGCAGCGACGTTGGCATCGATGGTGACGATGTCGCCGAAGCTTGGAGTGGTCGGCGGCGTCGTGGCGGAAGGCTTGGTCACGATGGCTGCGCTGTCGACTTTCTGCTTGAGCTCATAGACGTCCCCGCCACAGCGTCTCGATCTCCTGTGGGTCTGCTTGCTCCACAGGGATGCTGATGTGGCTACTGGGAGGCGGGACTGATACGGAAGGTGCTGCAGTGCAAACGGCGGTGGTCGGCGATGGGGATAGTGGCGCGTTGGGAGACGCGTCTGTCGCGCTCGAAGGTCTCTGCGCCGGTTGAGTTTCGCGAGGGTTGGGATAAGCAGTGGTGGCGCGCGGTGGTGTCGCAAGCGTCAAGAACCCGTGATTGTTTGTTACGGCAAGGAGAGAGTCAAAAGGGAGACTGGGGCTGCTTGCGCCGGTGTGCGCGTGCGAGTCTGTGCCCGAGGCGACCTCGTCTACAAAGAGGTCCTCGTAATCGTGGTTTCGGTTATTGATACGGCAAGCTCGAGAACAGGCGCATTGATCCTCGTCCTTGTGCTTGTTCTTGACCTCGACCTCGACCTCGACCTCCTCGCGGCGGTAGGCGTTGGCGTTGGCGTCGGTATCGTCCAAACCCGGGAGCTCTTTGCCGGGCGGACGCCTGGCAGGGCTCAGGAGGTCAACAATGTGTGAGCCGGTGATTGCCGTCGTCGTCCTTGTCGTCGTTGTCGACGATTCGTGTCCGCAGCTTGTCCGAGTCAGCGCCATTTTAGCTTTGTTGTGTCTTTGTTTAGAGTGAGAAACCCAGACACGATCCCAATAAAGACGAGAGGAGTCGACGTCAGTCCAGGCCACATGACTAGCGCCATCCTACCCCCTTTCCTCACCCCTTTTCAATGGAGGCAGGCCCTCTCCATTCATTAAGCCATAGTTATGCAACCATCTCAAAGGAAACCGTCCGTTCCCACATTCTTTGAGCGGCCCAATATGGAGAGGGCAATCATGATGTCCTTCCTTGCTTTCTTCCTCTACGGAGACCAGGCAAGAACCGATTTTTCTGGTCCATGGTGCTCTTACTTGGCTTGGCTCATTAAGAGTTAGTCATGGTCATCAGCTATTACAATGACCTCTGTCTCGTCACTCACCATGCACCAGATGCGCCCCTTTGCTCCACCCGAGACTAGCGCGGTTGCGGTGAAAGTGGTTTCATCAACGTACCTGGCGATAAAGTCTTCTTCTATCTCGCGCTGGACTTTTCAACACATTGTCGCATTGAGCGATATATGTACTGAACTTGAAAATACCTCTTTAGGTAGACGTTGGTGATCCAGGCAATCATCCGCCTTCTCTGCTCCTCTCCCTCTTCTTCCTAGAGGTACGGGTTGTGATCAGAAGAGACATTATAATCCGGAGACTAACCGAAGCAGAGTTGGACTGTATCGAAGCGTAGGTCCGTTTTGCTACGAGTGACTAGTCTGTATATAGCGAATAGCTTGTCTTGAGTTGCGATAGAAAAGACTTCGTACTGGCAGCTAGCTATCTTTCCATTTTTTGCCTCCCATATCATGTCATCATGTTTCGCAATGGTAAATGGCTCTGCACACCAACAAGGGGGACAGTTCCGCACCCTTGGGTAGTCTATGAGAAGCTTGGGGCATGGCATGTCGTCAACTCGATCCAGGCCAGATCTCCGGCTCAAATTCCAGCTTCGGTGAGGTACATGCAACTACAGCAAAACGAAAGCCAGTTGCAGCCCGTGCACTCCAGGTCAAGGACACCTTCTCTAGTCCAAAGGCCTGATATCTGTCAGTGTAGCCTAGCATATGTTGGCCAACAGGGTAATTAGTCTAGACGGCAATCTGTGCGATCGATATGCCTGCTTGTACATTTATACTGCCAGGTTATAGCTTGACTTGGCAACCAGTCGACATCCTGAGGCGCCTCTGTCAGGGTGAGATTTTAGCTATGGTATTTCTACTTTAAATGACGTCTACATGTGCTGCCATGTCCCAAACATCCACGACGTATTCAATGCACTAGACTCCATGATACGGAAGTTGCCAGCTGTGGTGTGAAGACACAACACTACATAGTGTTGGGACAGAATACAGATCCGGCATCACCACCTCCAAGAGCGATTTTAGTCTGACACAACACCAGTAGACTGCATTACTGACACTCGCGACGGGTCCATAATCCTAGAAATGCCAGTTGATCGGCTCTCATGTAAAAATACAACATCATCGCGACGGCCTCCAGGATATCCTCATACCTTAGCCCAGACAAGAGAAGAGGCCTCCACTTTCCAGTCAGTAGACTGCTCGAGCATTCTGCGAAAAGAGCACAAACGGCATGCTAGGATGCCTTGGAAGGTCTGTCATTCAATTGCTCTGAAGCAGGATGCCGTACTCTGGGCAGCTCGTATCCGCTGTTGTAGACGTGGGTAGTCTAGAGCATTCCTTGCTTTGTGTTCATGCTCGCCGAGGTGTCTGCGGCTCTTGACAAGAAAACCAAGGTATCGGGATATGGCGAAGTTCTGGTGCAGTATTTAAGATGCTCTGCAGACGACATCATATCCGTCTTGACACTCATTCACATTTATATCTCCTTGATTATATTGCCGACATCGAACAGAAGCCGGAATGCAGGAACAAATTGTGCTCTGCCCGACCCAGAGCTTCTTGGCACCTGCCACTGGCGCTTTTTACAACTCGATCTTCGGCCTCGACGATTCTCAGCCAGATGGGCTTGCAGATCTATTTGGGCTTGATGACTTGATTGAATTTGACGCTCACGTGGACGACTATGGAATATGTGAAGACAGCGATGTAGATGCAAATTGGCCACGCGACCTCGAGGACTGTTGGAAAGACATCCAAGATGTGTCGTCTTCTTGTGGGGAAACGCCTCCGGTTGAGACTGAACACGCTCCCGAGGATTCCCAGCGAGATATCTCGGGGCCCTCTACCAGAAGCAACCAAGGCGAAGCCCGCAGGATCAATGAGTGCCGTTCTCCATATTCCCGACTCGACTGTTGCCACCGAATATCGGCTGAGTGGTCTCATAGTATCACAGAATGCAGATGATCATAGCGATTATTAGACACCCACTAGAAACGAGACTGCGAGGGTCCGGTGGACAGTCCCTGATAGCGATCCTTCTCCAGACACAAGCTCATTACAAACGTCTTTTGCAAATTCTCCTCCCCAAGGGGATGATATGCAACTCGAAGAGCTGACGGAGGAAAAGACGACCTCCGAAGATCTTGGAAGAGCCAGCGACCATTTACTCTCCCAGAACTCTCGTTTGGATGATCTTTGTCCCGCTATAACTGTACTAAATAATTGTAAGTTGCCACTCGTAAACCAGAGGTAGGAAGATTGTCTCTATTCTTCTGCTGGTCTGGGAGCCGACGTAAGTGAGGAGGTTCCGTTAACCTGTAAGAGTCTAATAGAATCCTTGCCCGAAGGAACCATCTTTATTGATCTGACAGAGACCCGGAAGCGCAAACGCGGTCTTTCGGGGGAATTAGGCGCTGGCACGAATGAGCAATCCACAAAGCCAATGCATGCTAAGAAGAGGCTTAAGTCACGCCACACAAAGCACGGAAAAGTTGGTAAGGGCCTGCAGTGTTCTATATCAGAGTTCGACCATTAGCAAACTTTGACCAGATGTAGCTCACATTACATTAACCCTAACCCTAAGAGCTTCAGTGAGTAGTCCACTAAAGCTTCAGGTGGTAGGTGCTATGGTATAGCACTTTCATCGCTATAAGCTTAGTGGACCATCCGCTGAAAGTTTGAGGGTTAGGCACCAAAATCGGATATGATGCTTCAAAGCCCATTCTCGTTGCACTCACTCGCCTTAATATGCTGCAGCCTATGAAAAAGCCATTCAGGAGAGGACCGGCCTCCTCGGCTTCTCCCATGGGCACCATCCCCGTTGGCCGAGTACTGCACAGGGCATGATTGTGGCTAGGATATTGTAGCCTTGGGAATTTGCACGGCATGATGCTGACGAGCTATTGAATAGTCTGATATACTACGTCTACGTCTACTATTATTGAATGGCTAGTTAGGTGATTCAAGTGGCTAATTACCTAGGCAGACTCGGTGATCTTTGTGACGAGCTGAGATGAAAAGGCTCACGACTTCACGCCTCTGTTGTGCCGAGGAGGGAGCTATTCGAGCACGACTTTTCTCCATCTTCATTTTCAATCGGTACTGACTGTGCTGCTTATGTTGCAATTCAAATGTTCGCGGTCTCTGCATGCACACAGTTCACATCAGACATGGACCTAGATCAGCAGTGCGCTCTTCAGATCATCATAATACTGTGATCGGGTCTGCGGTCTGCGGGCTGGGGCTGCGAGGGTTCTGCGGATCGGACTCAACATCCGAGCTTGCGGCGACAGCGGGTGGCTATTGCCTCGCCGTGTGCAGCATTTTTGCTCCGAGCCGAGATATATACTGTTGCACCACCGCCACCCCATTCCACGGTAGAAAGCATGCAGTTGCATACCGCCAGTGGCCGTCCGTAGCCGATAGCGGCAGGCAGGGGTGGCCCGAGACGAGGTGGAAGGCATGACAAATGACTGACAGCGATGCCGCATCTGTGAACATCGGTCTGCTACATTCAGGCGAGTGTGACCATGGCGGCGGCCATCAATGTCCTCGCCCTTCTGTCGATTGGAACCTAGGCGTGATACACTTTGTAGAGGTGTTGTACTGCGCTCTGATGTGCAGTGCGTGCGGCACTATTTGATGCCGTTTTTGTTGCGGTAGAGGGACAATCAAAGCCAGAGCTGTCTGCTGTCCGCTTGCTTCTGCTTGTCTGCTAGGACAGAGCAGAGCAGAGCACAACCAGCACAAACGAAAGAAAACGAACACCAAGAATGGATAACTAGAAGCTGCCGACAAGAGATGCCGACAACGACGTTGGTATGATGAGATGACAATGACGATGACGATGATGAGAACGATGGATGAGGTGAGGTGGATATCCGATATTTGTTTGCGTGAAGGAACAGAGCCTTGGAGGCTACCTACCTAGGTAGGTACCTCTGTACCCATCTATGCCTAATTAGGACGACTATCATCGAACCATCAGACTATCAGATCATCTGTGTCCTGTCCTGTCGGCAACCATGTGTCTGTGCCTATATTTATGACTACAATCGGGCTTACTCTTAGGGTATGCGTGCGGTTGTCTATAATGTCTTGATGAAGCGGAGGCTTGGACCTTGACCTTGTCAACCTTGCTGGCAGGATGGAAGGCTTGAAGGTAGAATGGCTCAAGTCTTGGGCGATCCTTGGGCTTATCACTGCTAAGTTCAGTTGGATTTGTACGTTTACTGCTTGCCTCTACATTGACAGTGGTGGCTTCTTCTTCCTTGCCATGTGAACCCTTTGGTTTCGAAGTTTGTAAGATTGTTGTGGGGGCGAGGATGATTCTAGATTCAGAGGTTAGATAGATAGGATAAGTATCTAGTTACTCTAATATGAGACACTTAGAGTGATAAGATATCTAAGGTAGGTAAGCTGGATCTGGAGGGTAGGCGGTTGTAGATAGATGTCCCCAGACCTTCAAATTCCAATCTATTGAGAGCTTACTCTAGCTCCAGCTCCAGCTCTAGCAACCTCAAAGGTTGGCTTTATCTAGGCAGCTTGAAGCTTCAAGGTTGATCCTCAATCCGCCACTACAGAAAGAGTTGTCGCTGTCGGCAAGCATTGCTCCCGATCTGCTTGCTTATTTAATTCTCTTCTATG